GTGCCCGCCCTGCACCTCGCTGCAGCAGGTGACTCAGCTTGCAGTAGGATCTCTACCAAGGCGCGGTTCCTTGTAGATGAAGGCTGACGATTTTGCTGCAAGTTTCTTGTGTTTCCACAAGGAAGCACTTGGGACTCGATCTTATTTGTATTACTCTTCACCACTTAATGACCACTCGGGATAACTCCTTGTGTTGTTTAATGTCCTGAGTTATTCCGCTGTTGACTTCAGATACTTAACCCTTAGTGACAGAGACCCTTAGAAACCTTCCAGGACGTGAGGGGAGTGCAGGGGGTGAATCAACGTAAAGCCCAAACTACCCGGGCCAAGATAAATGGGGAAAAAAAACACGGATGGGGGTAGGAGGAAAATGATCCAGCTACACACAACTGTGCTCTGATAGCCAGGTGCCATATAATTTCTTTCAAAGAAGCAACGAGGGGGTTGAGATTGATTTTGTACATCCACAGATAGGAGAGGGGTTAAAATATTTCCAGATCAGCGAATTTCTTAGTCTCCTGTTGCTCTTTCAAGAGTCTGCCATGCAGCTTTATGAAGGGCACTGCTTTTGCTAGGTGAGAGTTCATGAATGAGCATTAAACATTTACACCCTGTTCACAGCTTGGTGTGTTGGTCTCCTTAGTACCTGCTAAAACACCTTGCAAAGTGCCCTGGTGTCCTCTGAGAGCATCCAATGGCTGAAGCAGGATATTCCAGCTCTGAAAGCTTCCTGCTCGCTGCTGCACCGAGGATTAAATCCTTTGCAGTGTATCCCTTTCCATTTGTGGGTTTAGCTTTTCATGTCCTTTTTGTTTGGTAAATTACAGGTACTGTGTTCTCTTGATTATGAAGTATTAACATAATTACAGTAATTCTGCCCAATGATGCAATGCATGTAAACATGTAATTAGCACGGAGGGACAACACTGAGCAAAGTAATGACAACGTGCAATAATGCAAAACGCCTTTTTCTCCCAGTCATGTGCAGGGATACAGGCTTTAGAGCTCAGTGCCTTGATTATTTCTTTAGAAGGTTTTGTTAGAATGTTTTGCTTCCTTCCCTCACACTGGAAAGAAAAGCATACAGAGAAAACACCATATTGCTTTATTCCTCTGAGTGTTTATATGTGCAACCCTCTGCACGCCCCCCAACCTACTGTATCTGATTTCCTTTGCAATATTCGAACTCCCTGCATTTGATAAAACAAACGAGTGCCCAGGCAGGTCACATTACTCTCTGGAGCTTTTGAAACTGCCTGAAAACTGTGAACTTTTAAGAAAAGGAACAGCGTGTGCTATTTTGCAGTGGCTACTACCTCTGGCTTTTATTCCCCCCTCCTTTTAACTCAGAAAAAGCGGTGGCATTTAGTTCTCGGGACCCAGAAAAGCAATGGCAACACGGGGACTTTGAAAGCCCCTCCTGTCCTCCACGCCTTCCTGATGCTGACACAGTTTTCATCCTCCCCGAGCTGCTGAGCCTTACAAGCGAGCAAAGGCCGGGCTGGTGGCTGCAGCCAAGGGCTGTGGTGCGGAGCCAGGGATGGTGGCTGCGGAGCAAAGCCCAGGTCAAGCCTCCCCCAGTTCAAAAGTGAGGGGCAGCAGGAGATAGGGAACCTCTGCAGCGAAGGGGGCTGCTTGGTTTGCTCATTTGCATCTCAATCCCTACAATGCTCTTCCGGCTACTCACAGCTATTCCATAGTAGTGCTCTTGGCTGAGATCTGGGAACACGCTCAAAGGGTGAGGCAGCTTTTGGATGCACTGAGCTGTTTTCTGTTTGAGCTGTGAAAAGCAAACATCTTTTCAAGAGAGAACATTCTGAACAGTAATTTTTTTTTTTTCATTTACGATTCAGAAAGAGCAGAACTTCACTGAAATCTTGGGAGGAAAATACTGTATAATGTCGAATGGAAACATAAATCTTCTGCAGTAAAGGCTTCACACTCCTCTGAAAACAGAAGTCACTGAGTAACTACTCTGACCTAATGCGGCAGGACTGGAGATACAGGTTCTGGAAGCAGCTCCCTACACTCAAACACTTGAACCCCAGTAAAGCTCCGCTGCCTTCCTCACGGAGCAACTCAAAGATGAGACTCTACAAAGTCACTTCAGACACTTCCTTCTAAATTCACTTTAAATATTTGCTTGTCACGGCTGCCAACCCAGGCACAAACAGCGGCGATTTTAAAGGACTTTTAAGGATTTTAAAGAGCAGGCGGCTGCAGGAGGAGAACCTGTTAAAGGAGAGGTGACTCATTTTCCTCAGTACTCAAAAGTACAGATTTGAGGAAAGCAAAATCAAGTAGCTATTACAGATGGGCTCAAGCTCAGGTCTGGATTCAAATTTTCTTCAAAGCATGGCTGTGTTTACATTATTAGGGACAAACCCCCCTGCCAAGCTGGGACCCAGCCGGAAGGCACAGGAAGGGCGCTTTAGATGCTGGATTTAGGGTTAAGCACATCTGAGCTGAACATTCAAAGCTGCTTTAAACAGTGTGGCAGAGCTAATCTGTTGAAAGGTCTCACTCAGCCTTGCTGTCCCCAGGGGAATATATATGGGGGAGCTGTGAACTCCTGTGAGCTGCTTTCACTACGTGTCCCTGTTTTCCAGTTTCCAAGCAGCCCCCTCTCAGCTGATTTATTGTCACGCTACTCAGTTTGCAGGAGGGGAATCAGGTCCTGTGGTTACAGAGCAGACCCAAGGGCTGGTGCCTGGTGTGCAGCCCCTCGCTGCCTGCCAGCAAGGGAAATCTGAAACTTTGAAGGAGGAGGGGGAAGGAGGAGAAGCAGGGTATTTTCTGGAAAGGCAAAGCCATAGCTAAATAGCATGCATGGCAAAGCAGGAGGGAAAGAGAGTGGTCTAAGAATTCAAACAAGCCACAGAGAGGACAATAGACAATGAATACAGGAGCAATAGGAAATAGAATTTGTAAGGTAAATCCAGTGGACAGACAGGAGTGAGCAGAGTAACAAAACAGGGAGAGGTTCAGCAGCTGAATGGACAGTGGGAAACCTTTGTGTGTGGTGAGGGGGGCCCGTGTTACTTGCTCTCATGAAATTAAAATCAGTGAAGAAAATACACTCATCCATAATTGCACCCTCCTGCTCACTCCTGAGTACTTGTTTAGCATTAATATCCCAGCACAATTCCTACTGAGCCTAAACCACTACATCACATCTTGCTTTTCTTGTTTTGTTTTGAAGGGAAAAGTTTTGGCCTTTGGAACACAACAGACATTTAAAGAAAACTAAGTAAATCTTTGCTAAAAGAAGCTGGTGTTAGGGCATGCCTGAAATCCAGCTGCAGGACAGCAGTATTTCTGAAACCGTGTTAATTTAAAGATTGCATTTTTAAGAGTGAGGCAGCATTAAAGAAGAGTTGGGAGAGGGGGTGGGGAGCAGAGCTGCCCCTGTGCTGTGGACACACACAGGCAGCTCTGACACAAACAGCTCCCACTGCACTGCAGCTCCTGCTGCACACACATCCAGCTTCCACCTCTGGATGTTTGCATTGGGATCCCAACCAGCTCCCACCCAAATCAATGGATTTTGCTGTAGGCATGCTGTAGGCATCAAGAGAGATACTTCATTGTCAGGTACTTAATTATTGTCAGGTATTTAATTGTCAGATAAACAAAAAAAACTTTGGGAATAAAATAAAATCATCATAA